TTGAGGATATGGCATCTGCTGCAGAGGATAAGGACTGGTTTGTACTGGTGCGCCGCCAGGAGCGGGATGCGCGGGTTGAGAATACGGCATGTGTTGCGGGGGATAAGGACTGGTTTGTACTGGTGCGCCGCCAGGAGTGGAATGCGCGGGATGCGTCGGATAGGAAGCCGGATAGGAAGCCTGAGAGTGTGGCTGTGGCATGCCGAAGGACGTCGGCGGCGCGTTCGAGAAAGCCGCCGAAGGGTAAGGCGGAACACCGGGGGCAGAGGGTGCGTTAGGTGGGGCCCCAAACGACGTTGGCGCTTGTGCTCGTCCCGGAAACTGAACAGGCGGCCCCTTGGATATGTCGAGGTAGAGATACAGAAACAAATAGTATACCATGCGCAAACTTCTAACTACTCAAACGAGCTCATTTTTAAACTGTGTCAACATGCTACCAGAGCTTGGTATCTTTTCTCAAAAGTCTATAGGTCTATTCTTTGTAGCTGAACTTATTGCATCAGTTCAGAGTTTATCTTTCTGCTTCCACATTAGGGGGAAAAAAAATAAACTCTGAACTAGTGCAGCTATAAAGAACAGACCTTAGCTACATAAATCGAAGGAATTTAAGAAACGTAACTTGTATTTGTAGCTGCGTTCGGCATTGCAAATCCGAGGCGTCAGACTGCTCTTCCTCCGTTTCTATCTCATTCTCCTCTCTCGCTCACTCGAATGCAAAAGAGCACTCTGACGCCTCGGATTTGCAATGCCGAACGTAACTTGTCTTTCTTGACTGAATCCATTGAAAATGTATCTTGTATCTGTCTTTGATGAAAAATGTCAAGATACCAAGCTCCGCGTGCTACATATAGATAGATACAGAGTTTCAGACGATAATAGAAAGCACGTGTATAATTTCTGTATACACGTCTTGGAGGGACAAATCGACACAGTTTGAAAATACGCCCTTCATGTCAATTTCAACCAATGCAGACTAGCTTTGATCTCGGTTTAACTTACTTTTGATCTTCTAGTCTCTGGAGTTGGAAAAAGATAAAAATTTAGTTAAACAGGGATTAAAATTAATCTGTGTTGGTAAAAAAAGGGCATCAGTGTAACAATTGTACACCAAATGTACTCACTTGGTAACCGTAGCTCATTTTGCCTGGTCAAGAGTCTAACTGTCGCAGCGGAAGAATAACCTGCACCTGCACAGAGAAGAGCATAAAATTACAAACTTCCTCAATCTGCGTCGCGCCTCTTGGCCATTAAATGGCAATTTGCGTGCAGCAATCTTTATGCAATTTGTTAGCTACAGACTCTTTAATCAGAGCCTGACCATAGTGTAACGTATACACACACACACACACGTCGCTAAATTCTGCCCGGGTATGACGGAATACCACGTGATCGGGATCGCAAAGATCAAAGAGACCGGCAGAGAGTGGACTTACTAGTCATACTATGATCTGATTAAAGTCCTAAGCAATCAGAGAAGCGCAATCGTTACCCCCTCCAGGCTTCTCATGGTCGCCATGTTGGGCCCCGCAGCTAAAATAGTACAGCTAGTGCTAGTACAGGATTATGGTAAGGTATAACTCAAAACCACGCAACTTGTATACCCAAGATGTATCAACAATGTCTCAGGGATATCTAAAATATGTTTTCTTTTTAGAAAATAACATTACAAATATACTTTTTTTTCTTATTTACAGTACGCCTAGTTTGCTCATAGGATTCACTACGGGCTCAACATTGGGGGTCAGTCAGCAGGCGAGACGTCGATTGCGCTTCTCTGATTATTTCCATATCTTCGAATGGAAAATGACACATTTTGAACTGTTTCGAGGATGAATTTGAAACACCCTGGAGCTGCACAGTCTGGCATTATAACTTTTATTATATGTCTCTATCATGTAACCCAATTTATCAATGTCGTGTTTAAAATTCGCGTTTGCTTGGCTGTTACAAACGGCAGATTGAGACAACCAATAAGTAATCGTCACTACATTGGCTTAACTCTTATTATGGGAACCCTACACTCGCTACAGAGAATATTGCCGGAGTGACCCCGCGAAACTGTCACGATTTATTAAGGGTGCGTTCAGGAGCTCGCTATCAGCGCTATTTGGCGCTGAAAACATTATTATACGTTAGTATGCGCCATTATGCGTCATTATGCGGCAATAGACTTGTTTTCTGTTGCTACGCTGGTGCTAAACTAGTGCAATAAATTAGAGTAAAACAAGTATATGTTTCTCATTCTAGCTTGCTGCACTAGTGAACTAGTGCAGCAATAGAAAACAAGCTTATCTCACTATGCGTCGAAGAAAGATAGAACGACGCTAGTGCTAAGTAGCTGATAGTGAGCTCTCGAACGCATCCTAAGGGTCGGTTGTTCCAAGTGTTCCAACCTCTTGACGAGTTAACAATAGTTAAATCATCACGTACGCCTTTGTTTTTTCTTCAAGTTAGACAAAGATGGACATATAATTTAACTATTCGTCAGTTTACCAAGAGGTTGAAAGAACCGGCCCTTAGTCGCGTATCGCGAGATCATTTATTCGTAAGCTGATACGTGTCACGCATATGTCGGAACGGTATCCACCTGGAGGAGAGAACAAACGATCGGCGACGCCCGACGTCCGAAACGTGGATGTGCCCTCGTCGGGAAACACCAACGAACTGCGGACGGTCGCAACGCGTTAAGACGTCACTGGCTCTCGGTACTCACCTACTCACTCGAGGCGGAGTTGCGAGATGACGAGCTCCTACGTTGCAAGAGTCGCGAGATGACGAGCTCCTACGTTGCAAGTGCCGTGACGTGTACGTTAGGCTACGGAAAACGCCGTTGAACGCCGTTGAATACCGCCCCACCGCTCACCACCGCCGCCGACGAGACGCGACGTGTCTCACGTGTCGTAAAGTCTGATCTAACATACGTCCTCTTTGTCTAGAAAGATTCTATTTTACAACTGAGAAATACATTTAAAAAATTTGTGCAAGCTGACGAATTGTATATTATATAATCGTACATATTGTCGATAATTATTTTTAAGCGTATGGATTTGCTTGTACGAAATAGAATATTTCTAATCTACATTGTAGATCAGGCTTAAAGCGTACGAGCGAGACGAGCGCTGACGCATAGCGTGGCACGTGACTGGATGTGGTTGGTGGCAAGGACAGGAGCAGGTAGAGCCTTCTTTTCATCTCCGCTGGGTCTGCGACTGCGTGACGTCATCGAGAATTCCGGGGAAAAAACGTGGTACACCGCACTAATCTAGCATCAAATAATAAAGCTATGTGCGATATTCGTGATATAGTGTGCGGCAAAAATTCGTCGATACGTCGCGCACAATTCGCCATTCGCAGTGATTCGCTAGCCGAGCAGTTTTTTGACGAAAATAGTGTTTCTTTTTACTAATATTGAAACTTGACTAATCATCTTATGATTACAGGACTTGTATCATAAGTCTACAGACCCAGGTAGCACACATATCTAAAAGACATCATAAGGACGTCTTTAAGACGTCTTTTGACTTAAAGACGTCTTAAAGCTGTCTTTTAGATATGGCATGCTACCTGGGGAGATATCTTACATAAATATCCACTAGATACTGATATGGATGTCTAAAGGCCTATGTCCACGATGCTAGAACTTGATCAAGTTCTAGCATCGTGGACACAGGCCTTTAGTCCCAGTCTACAATAGATGATTTAAGCCGTAAGCCTTAGTCCCAGTCTACATTAGAGATTTAAACCCCAAGCCTTAAGAAATTGACTAATCACAGTCTCCTATTCTACTTATACTTGGCCGTGATAGGCCAATTTCTTAAAGCTTATGGCTTAAATCGTCTATTGTAGGCTGGGTCTTAAGAAATTGACCAATCACGGTCAAATACGAGTAGAATATGCGACTGTGATTAGTCAATTTCTTAAGGCTTAGGGTTTAAATATCTATTGTAGACTGGGACTAAGGATATTGTCATAAATAATTCTGATTATGTAAATAATATGTGATTCTTTTTGCGGAAATGGTGTGAAACGATGGGGATTCCGAGTTCTATTTCTTACGACGGCCTTGTTCGATCTCGATGACACAAATATCAGTACTTCCTCATACATTTAGCAGACAGAGAAACGACAAAAATAATGCAAACGTCTAGCAAATCGTTTCTCGAAAATGACGATATTATTAGCATACGTGCATTTTTATATATCGAAGAAGTACAGAATTTTATCTTTTGATACCAAACGTTCCGCTTAGAAACAGCTCCGTCTCAACTTTAACCGTTGTTCCGCGTCATGCTATCGCCGCATGATCGATACATATAATACTAATGACTTGGTCACACCGGCAATTACGTTAATGACAAGAAAAACAAGCAAACACGCGAGTTCTCGCACATACGAGTGTGTGGCTCTATACGGAATGACCTAAGTTTTTTCACGAAGACTTAAAAACGCAAACTTTTCTAATTTTCTTTAAGATTTTCTATTTAAAAAGATCATATATACTTGATCATTAGGGCATATTATTTTGTGTCGTTTTAGCAAAGAATTCCCAAAATAGCACGGGTGATTGTTACGTAACGGACTCAACAAGTATTTACTCTTTAAGTACTCTTCACTTCTTACGGAGATACATTAGTTGCTTCGATAAGCACAATGACTTCTTTTTCTATTTGAAAAAGATCTCAGTCTCGTTCTACATGTCTCAATCATGTAATATCTAATTATTTCTCGAGGAATGTAAGTAAAGTCCCCTATTATCAGATAGACTTCTAATATGGGATAGCAGGGTTTCTGTTAAATTAATAGGCATCATCTATTGGTTTCATCGTTAATTTATTGTTCTTGGAGCGAAATCTGTTTGGTGAAAAATTAATTGCTAGATCGTGTAATCGTTGCGAATAAAGATTTGTGATCAAATTTGGATGTTGAAAACCTGCTATCTCATATTAGAGGCCTATCTCATAACGGAGGACTTTCCTCTGATAATAGATAAATATTTTAAAACATTGTCTTGAAATTACAAGTCAGCCAGTCTACTGGAAGACCCTTAATTATGTAGTTGATAGGATGGCGGGACAAGCGCAATTGTAGGGCGAGGAGAAAACAAGGCGCAGGCAATCTTCAAAATAATTTATTAAAAATGTCGCATATTCGTTATACTTCGAGTCGGTAGTCGGCAATGGTACAATTAGTAACTATATGCATGTCGCGTGAGCATGTTCTCGAAGGATCAATTTACGTCTGGCAGGTGATCGGTCGTTATTGTTCTTATTTTATCGTGGGGATAAATTAACGGTTTGTGTGTGTCTATATAATATATGCATATATTTAGAAGTGACATCGCGAGTCATCGAAGTAACATGTGACACGAAATCGCTTTGCCGACCTAAATGCACGCTTGCACGCCTCTGTTGCGGAATGCAAACGCGTTTTCGTCAGCGAATCGTCTAATGCCGGGATCGGAGATTCTGGTGACGTCGTATGACGTATTCATTTCTGAGAGAGACGGTCACTTTGTCCGTAAATAAATCATGACGCGCACATGATTCATGCGCGGGTCACTGCCTTCTCCGGACCGATCTCGAGTTTCGATCCGATTTCACGCGAACAACGATCGTCGTTCGCGCAATGGGCTTTGCCTTCTGACGACGAGTAAATTATCCGCGGAGAATATAGAGAAAGGTCGCAGAAAATGGATAAAAATCTATTCCTTCTATTCTCGAGCCTGTAGAAATACGAGACTGTTCCGAAATTTTGTATAGTGCTGTAATCCAATTTCAAAAGAGCTGTGTTTCTCCCAATTTCATAACTAAAAGAAAAAAATGTATATATGAAGTTGCAATTACTGAACAAATCAACTTTTAATTTTCTAAATTAACACTGTTGTTGCTTCAGTAGACTTGTTACATTTAAAGCATCTACGTTTGTAGATCGCGATTCGTGTCACAGTCTTCAAATAGAACGATTACAAATGTATTAATGACGTGTGCGTTTATGTAAGTTTCTGGCAAGATCGCGTGCATACGTGCGCGTGTGTGTGTGTGTGTGTATGTATGTGCCGTTATGTTATTGTCAGATTCCTTGCTGACTTTGCGTTCGCCGTAATCTAACAATGACCGAGAGGAGGAATTTAACATGTATTCGCTTTTATACAAGCTGCGTAATTACGTAAGATTTTTATGATTAGTTGACAAAAATTATTCTCACACTCCCCACGGAACTTTTCTTTAAACGTTCCAGAGCGGCGGATAGAGAAGAAAGTTACTCAAAGTTTTAAGATACTAATATATCATTAACATATAAAATTTATTCCAAAAAGCGTACGCAGAATTTTTTTAAACACGTGTTTTGTCGCCCGATCGTGCCTGCGCTGTAAAAAAATTCATGTAAAATTACAACTATTACAGTGGATAATATTGGGGCACCATTTATTAATACCAAGTATATTTACATACGTCAGTAAATTTATATGTTGCAGATAAAATTATTATCTTACGTAATAAGTAATCAGCTTGCTTTTAATTTCGTAATTTTTCGTCAAACATAAACAATTATTTACACAACAAGCGTAAGAAAACCAATTTTTGTAAAAGTCGTGAATTTATACATTTCCGTTATGAATAGCGTAATTTTATGGAACTTTACATGCGTTTTTACAGCGTGCTATTAAAAAGCTTTCGTAGGAAAAATCAGTTATCGAAATTCGAATCGGACACGATCCAAATTCGTCACTTCGAATTCTGGATTTCATACACACGCTCGAAGGATATTCTCTCGGGAGTGAGTTTCAAAAAATGAATCTCAAGGCACGATCGTCGATTAGAATGCGAACGTAGAACAGATTTAATCCCGCGAGGACAATCTCGCTGGAGGAGCGCGATCGAATCGCTCCGTACGATTTCTGAAAAGGAATTCGCTTTCGCGCGAATAAGCGGCGGTCTCGTCGTTGCAAAATATACATATACGTCGTTATCTGTGACTGTTTTGAAGTACGAATTATTGATATCGCAACGACCGAAAGGAAAACATCTCCCGGTGTTGTGTGGACCGATGGTGGATGATGTGAAAAATGAGTTTGTAGAAACAGTTTGTACCTGTGTGGCGCGATACAACGAAACTCCCAAGGTTCGCAGAGATATTTTCGAAAACACATTACGCGAAAGCGGACTCGATCAATTCTTCGATTTGAGCGCATCAATTCGTGCAATTATTCCGAATCACGACTCAACTCTTTTTCCAGGGCTACGTTTACTTTCTCATCTGCAGACTTACGGAGATTAACAGATAACTGTCCCGCTGGTTATCATTAATAGAACGCGTGGTTTGTTTTACAAATAAGACGTGTATATCGTCACAAAGAATCATAATTGGACTCATAATTGGAAACAGTGGCTATCCCGATACGCAAAGGCAGCATCGGATATCGTTCCATTGACAGCAACGACTAACGCAAACCTCCGTTTTTCCTGGGAAAAAATAACGACGGAACGAGGCGATTACGTATGGGAATTTGTCGTCAAGTACCGAGACGTCTGAGGCGATGAGTGGCCAGTAAACGTCAACTAACAGTTAGACGAAGAGAATTTTCTCTTAAAATTTATCCTGAAAATCATGTAATCGTGGGACAAAACACGGCATTTCGAAGAATTTTATGCTAGAACTTGAACCGAGCTCTAGTATCGTGGACACAGGTCTTTTAAACTGTGAATCAGCGAATATTCACTGATTTCAGTGACAATCCACTGATTGACTTTTAGAGTTCTCTCTAAAATTTTACCATACATTTTACTAGTAAATAATAAATTAATAAAGTTCTTCAAAATGCCAGGTTGTCCCAC